TAAATTCACAGATTTTTAAAAACATAATTAATAAACTTAATTTAATTAAAATTTTAGTAACAATGCTTTTAGCACCCACAAAATACACATTATTTTTATATTCAACTGGAACTTTTCCCCACACACATGTTGGAACAAAGTTTTCAGAAACAAAGAATAACAATGCTACATAAAACTCTTCTAGAAAATAAAAGCAAAGGAAACACTTCCCAATCAAATGTGTAAGGTCAACATCATATGATACTAAAACCTGAAGAAGGACCTATATAAGAAATAACATGAATAGGTTCAGCTTTTTCTTAATACAACTTCTTCTTAAATAGAAATGCAAAAATCTAAAGCAAAATATAAAAGTCAGTTATATACAAAAAATAATGCATTATAGTTAAGTTAGTTTGTTCTAGGAATGCAAGGTTTAATTTTTTGAAATCGATTAATGTTGCATACATTAAAAAGTTTTGGATAAAATTCAAATCACATATGGAATTAGCAGCAGCAGCAGCAGCAACAGCAACATCATCCTAACCCGTAAAATGGCAAGGAAGGGTAACTTCCTTAATCCATAAAATTTCTATAAGAGTCAGGCTCGGTGGCTCAGCCTGTAATCCCGCGCCTTGGGAGGCTGAGGTGAGTGGATTATCTGAGCCCGCGGGCTCGAAACCCACCTGGGCAACTTGGCGAGACCTCATCTCTACAATAAATCAAAAAATCAGCCGGGCGTGGTAGCGCGCGCCTGTAGTTCCAGCTACGTGGAAGGCTGAGGCGGAAGGATCGCCGGAGCTCAGCAGATCGAGGCTGCGGTGGCCGGGAGCGGCCACTGCCCTCCAGTCTGGGTGACAGAGTGAGACTCCAACTCAAAAAAAAAAAAAATTTCTATAAGAAACTTGCCTAAAACACCTTAGTTAGTGGTAAAATATTGAAAGCATTTACCCTAAGACAGAAAGTAGAAAAGAATGTCTGGTAACATCACCACTATTCAACATTATGATAGTTTGTAATCAGGGCAATATGGCCAGAAAAATAAATAGCAGGTATAAGAATTGGAAAAAAAAAAAAAAAGAAAATTATCATTATTCTCAGATGCCATAATTATATATTGTATATTTAAAATATTTGACAGATAATTTATTAAAATTTATAAATGATATAAAAGTGACTGAATACAAGGTCAATACATAAAAATAAATTCTTTTTCTATATACTAATTAGGCATAATATTAGAAAACATCAAATACATAGGAATAAATCTAACCAAAAATATACAAGACCACTATGAATGAAATATTCATGACTTCTTGCTTTTGTGGTCTAAAAATTTTTGCATATTTAAGTCAGTATTATTACAACAGAAACTGGCCTGTCATTAAAACAAATCACTATGAAATAGTATTTTTGATATTGAAGTTTATCATGAACAAATTCTGTTCGGTGAGAAAAGCAGACTTCAATTCACTCACCACTTCAAAAACTTAGGTAAACTAAATTTTAAAAAGCATCAGAAAGAAATTTATAATGAAAAGTAAAATAGAAATATTTTGTATATAATATACTTGTATGAATATTTTTAAAGCATTTGAATTGTTTTCAAGATAGCTAGTATTGTATTAAATAAAAATGTATACGGTTTTTTTCCTAAGAATAAATAACTAGTTTCACAAAAAAGTTCAGGAAATAACCAATTCAATTTACTTGAGTATTTGAGATTTGAGAGGAAAAAGAGTGTAAAATGTTAGACGATTATATTATCAATATATCAACTAAAAAAGTTAATTCTGACATTTCTAGGAACATGTTGATCAGAAGCCTGTTTCAAAAATACAGTTTCCTATCCTGACAGAATAATGATGAATTTTTAAAGGTTTCTTTCTGGTTAAGGTACAATTATATTTAGGAAAACAATGCAAGTGTGAACAACACAGTCTGGTCTTTATAATAGTTTCATCTTCATAGACAATAGCTTCTTCTTCTAAGTCTTACTGATGCAATTTTCATGAATTCATAATTCAGTATTGCAGTGAAATTTGGAGATTCTCAGTCAGTTATGTTTTACAGAAAAAATTGAGAAATACATAAAATAGATTTTTTTATAATTGTGGGGTACAATTCAGGGTTAGGTATACAAATATTCATTATGCAGATATCCTTGTTGATGAGGTGTGCCCCCCCTTCCCCAGG